CACTCTTTATACTCCCAAGAGCCTCTCTGTCTTAGCTCTTTCACTCAAGGGCTGGAGAGATGGCTTAGAGTTTAAGAGCACTGACTGCTCTTCCAGAGGACCTGAGTTCAATTCCCAGCAACCACATGGTAGCTCACAACCATCCCTTATGAGATCGCTGGTGTACAGATATACATGGAAGCAGAGTGTTGTATACATAATAAAAAAAAAAAACTCTTTCACTCAAAACCTATGTTTAAAAAAAAAAGTTGGGGAAGGAGAGGAGGGCAGGAGAGGAGGGAGAAGGGGGGAGGGGAGGGAGAGGGAATTGGGATTGACTTGTAAAACAAGCTTATTTATAATTTAAATAAAAAAATAATTATAAAAAAGTCTTTTAATAAACTCCAACTAGGGGCTGGAGAGATGAAGGCTCCATGGTAAGTGCTAGTACTAATCTATTCTTCCAGAGGACTTGCCTTTAGTTCCCCAGACCCAAGTTTAGAAACTTACAACTGTCTGTGAATTCAGTTCCAGCAGATTCAGTGCCTTTTTCTGTCCTCCAAGCCCCTGCACAGCAGTGGACACCCCATTATTAAAATAGACACTAAAAAAACTCCCCACCTTTGCCTCATAATAAAGCGACTTGTGTCTTCTGTTTTGTGGTAGAAAATTAGAACCAAAGACAACCACAACAGACAGGAGATACTGTCTACTGGTTTGGGTTTGGGAAAGCGTCTGACTCTGTAGCCTGGGCTAGCCTGAAAGTTGTTACATAGACCAGTTGCTTCAAACTTGTAACAATGTGACAATCCCTCTGTCCCGCCCTGCTGGGGTTACAGACGTAAGCCACAACACCTGACTTTACCCCAGTTTTTGTGTTGAATTTAAAGTAATTCCCTATTGCAGAAAATGGTCCCTAGCTTTGTGAGGACCTCAGCAAGAGTAGCCGGACCTTAGTGTGTGGGCCTGCCAATCAAAGAAGAGAAAACTGCAGAGACCACACTGTAACAGCTATAGCAGCCTTAGTCAACTGTAATTCTTTTTAACACCACGCTATGAAATAGACTTTTGTTTTGTCTGAGTTTGGGGGGTGTTTATTTCCTGAGACAGGGTGTAATGTAGTCCAGGCTGTCTTTGAGCTCTCTGTGTAGCCAAGGATAAACTTCTGATCCTCCTACCCTGCCCCTCCCTCCCCACTGATGGCATCTCAGGTGTGTGATGCCAGCCCTGGTTTCTGTGATAGCATATTTAACCCCGGGCTTTGTGCACACTAGGCAAGCACACAGCTGAGCCCCGGCTCCAGCTCCCCTGTATTTGCTTATCTGAGGCAGAGTTTCTTCATTTGGCTCAGGTTGGCTATGATCTCACGGAAAAGTTTCTACACCTGAATAAGCCTCTCTGCAGATGCAGCAATGCAAACCAGACTAAATCAAACCAAATTAGAAAAGGCCCATGTTTAATGGAACCCCCCCACCCCGCCCCTGTGGCCTTCCAGCCCCCTAGATACCAGAAAAACCAGGAGTCTGCTCTCTAGCTGGCAGTTTAAAATACCGTGTGGGAGGGGTCTTGAGTATCTCTGGGGGAGGGGTCATCATTTGGCGGGCTTTCTGAGATGCCTCGGGGTTTGGTGGGAGATGGGGGAGGGGGCTTGGATGGAACTTCCACCATAACATTCCAGACTCTCTGTGTATATGATGCCAGGGGCTGGGACGGTGGCTTCGGCCATAACACTCACAGCATCCTCTTGCCTCAGCCTCTCCCACTCTGGAATTACAGGAGCCCACCATCGCACCTGCCTGAAGTAGACACTGTTAAATTTACTTTAGAGATGCTCATATAGAGACCTGGGTGATTTAGTAGCATACAAGTTACTTCACTGTGTTTTGTTTGTTTGTTTTGCTTGTTCAGACAGGGTTTCCCTGTATAAACCTGGCTGTCCTAGAACTAGCTCTTGTAGACCAGGCTGGCCTTGAACTCACAGAGATCCACGTGGCTCTGCCTGTTGGGATTAAAGGCATGTGCCACCACCACCTGGTTCAAGTACTTCATAGTTAAAAAAAAAAAAAAAAAAAAAAACCTTGACCAAGAGGTAGATTCCAGACACAAACTCGGGTCTTCCCCTACACATGGTGTTTTTCCACTTGCTGGAAATCTCCAGGGCTCTACTGCCACCAAAGCCTTTACAATCTGCTTAAGAATGCCTGTCTCAGCAGGGTGTAGTGCTTATGCCTGTATAACAGCACCTGAGAATCCCAGGCAGGAGAACCAACTCGAGTTCCAGCCACCTTGGACTATGTGGTGAGACCATCTCAAAAATAAAAACAGGAAAAACAGAACAAAAAGGCTGCCTCCGGAATTCACGTCACTTGTTCCCTTCACTTCCTCTGGATAGGCTTAGAATTGTATCATCTTTTTAAAATGAGGACTGACTGAGGAGAAAACAGGGCTGTTTTGAGAAATTGCAATTAAGAGGAAAGAGCAAAAAGATGTTGGTGCCTTGGGCTGAGGAAGCTTCTCTCCCCTCGAGCGTTCTTGGTGTCCTCTCCTGCCCCTGGCTCTCCCTACCCCTTAAAAGTCCTTCACAGCCTTTCAGCCTCGGAACCCTGAACTCTGTTACTTCCAAATATGGACTCAATAAAAACCCAAGTCCAGAATGAACCAAACTCCTCTCGGTGTGTGTGTGTGGGGGGGCACTGGAAATTAAATCCAGAGTGTCTTGGACTATAAGCATGTATTCTACCCGAAGCTTCGTTCTTTCAGACCCTCCGCCCTTCCAGCAGTTAAACCTATTACCGGGCTTCTGCCCCACAAACAACCAGGCTAAAAGGACAGACAAAATTTCAAATATCTTCTTGTGGAGAAAAGGACATGGGTGGGGGATGGTGGCAGTTCCCGAGGACCCTAGCATTGTGTGGTTGAGAGAAGAGGCCAGCCTTTCAGGCATGGAGTCCCAGACCACCCTTCACTACAGAATAAGGGCCTGTCTCAATTTCTCTTTTAAAGACCTATTCTAAGAATTGCTGATTCACAGGACAGAAGGAGTAAACCCAGGACTATTGGTGGCCACAGATGGTGGTGAGCAGGCCCGGAGGGAGGGAGCAGAGTGGGGACTCCTGGAGGCATCCCCAGGTAGAGATGCACAGAGTAATGGAAAAATCCTTGAAGTTTAACCAGTTTGACCTGATCGGGGTAGTGATTCATTAGAACTGAATTCATTAGTCCTGACTATAAACAAGTTGCAGCCTGCCAACAACACAAACAGGGGATCTATACATCTTCAATGCATTGGCCAAGGTCAGCAAACTACAGCACAAACAGTCAAACGCCCTTGGATTCCAGGAAGAGATATTTTAATATGGACTTATGCATGCCTATACGCACGCATACACACACACACACACACACACACACACACACACACAGATGCCAATGGAGCTGTGTTCAAAAGCAGGGTTCCCCCCAGAAACTGCCTCCTCCAATTTACACTCGGTAGCCTGTAGTGCTTGAGCATGCCTGGAATTCCAGTACTGGTCTGGAGAATTGAGGGCTTAAGGCCAGCCTTGACTACTACACAGTAAATCCAAGTACAGCCTTGGCTACATGAGGCCCTATCCAAAAAACAAAAAGCCAAGGAACAAAAATGAAAAGCAAAAAAAAAAAAAAAAAAGATTTGTGTGTGTAGTCTTCCTGCCAGGGACTGTTCCCTTAGAACTAACCCTCTAATGCACACTCATTGTTGTCATTATTATTCTGAAAGTCAGGCTCTAAGGTAGCCCAGGCTAGCCTCACACTCTCGAGCCTCCTGCCTGCACCTCCCAAGCATGGGCCACCACACCAGCAGCCTATTGTCATTTCTGGTACCTACCTGGGGGTCTTTACCCCTTACACAGGAGGAGGAAGAGGGTCAGGGAGCAGGGAAGATCACTGACGACAAATGTATTTATAATCAAAACAGGGGATAAAATGAAGCACAAGAAAATTAGTAGGCGGGTCCCCACACCCCTGCCACGGGGGCTCACACTTGGCTTTAAATGCTCTGTGAGGTGCCATGCTATCAGAGGACAGAACACATCATCTCTCCATCTACAAGAAGTGAGGGGCGGCACAGACCAGAACCAAAGAACTCCAGGTTAACCCTGTCCACACTTAACTATCGCCATCATAGCCAGGAGCAGAAAGACAGCTGCCCGGCAAAGGCAAAGAGCAACTCAAAGGAAAAGCCAAGCTGGCACTCCCTACATCCTTTAAAACGGTTCAGACAGGGTCTCCCCCTGTAACCCAGGCTGGCGTTCGACGCGCTGCAGGCCTGCCTCAGCCTCAGCCTCTCAAGTGCTGAAACTACTGGTGCGAGCAGCCACCACATCCCGCCAGCTGCTGTGGAAAGTTTTTGTACTTACTAATGCCAGGCTCCAGCCTGAGGCAAAGGGAGTGCCGGAGCGCTGGCATCGGCCACTCCGCCCTGCCCTCCCGCTCCTGGGACACTTTCCTTATTCGGGTCACAGGACCTCCTATTGTGAGAACCCAGTGTTTACAGCCTGACTTTCTCTCGTAAACCTTGAGGACTCCTCATGGAGATCTATTGCTTACTTGTAGGTGAACCGTGGTGAGAAAAACACCAAAGCAAACAAACTATACTCTACGACCTTCTCCCTGTCCACTTTTAAAACCTAAAATGGGAAAAAACTGACCGACGGGCATTCCTTAGGAGGCCCGCACGCTGTCACTCGCAGCCAGGACCCAATCACAATCTTTTTTGGCTAAACGTTATCCCGCCTCTTTTGAGAGACTTTCTGCGTCCCCCACCCCGAAGAAGAAGAAGAACCCCGAC